TATCATTAAAAATTTTTCTGCCATTAAGAAAATTCTCTGGAATACCTAAAAAATATCCTGATTTTTGGTTGTTGTAGGTTGGCAAGTATGATTATTTTTTAATAGGTTTTTGAAATTTCAAGATGGGGTACATAAAATCTAAAAATTCTGCAACAAATGCTGTAAATTTGCAAGAGAAATATTTAAAAATGATACCAAATTTCTAACTTTTTAAAAAATTTATAAGGCCTTGTTTTTTGCAATTTATTTGATTAATAGCCATTAAAAAGTATAAACGTATTTTTTAATATTTTATAAAATTAGCATTTAGTAGTTGAACATCATCCATGTGCACTACAGTATGACTACTCACCAAGACTACAAAGTAGAAGTTGATAAATGAGAAATATCTCTGTGATTTTATTATGTTGGTTTCTGCTGGAAAAGCACTGAAGAAATTTTCATTTGCTTGATGTGAGGTGCATGCTTTTATATTGCTAACAGTAGAGCCCTACTACACTTTAAAAGCACTGAGGTGCAATAGTCTTCTATTAAAAAGGCATCTTTAGTTTTATATTCTAGTAGGATAATTACTTTAATGTTGGCATAATTTTCTTGAAAGTTGTGTAAACCTAACAAATTATAAAGCCTTAAAAAAATCATTCTTAATACTAATTTTATGGAATCTTTTTTTTTCATCTCGAAGTGATCAGCTTGTTTTCAAATAAGCATGTGCTAATCTTGAATTTGATTTGTTGTACGTTAGCTGAAAAAGGAAATCCCAGAATTTATAAAGAATAAAGTATAAAACATTTGATTGTGCTTTTGCAATGTATTGCATTAGTTGTAGTAAATTTGATGATACCCTCTTAGGTCACTGAATCTTAATTTGCATTTTGTACCTTTGTGTTTGTAAGCTATGTTGTCGTTGCTAAAGTTGCCCTCAAACCTATATGATCTGAAAGTAAGCACTATTTGCTGTAGAGATTATAACAATGGATATGCCTGCAGCAAGCTTGACAAGACTATTATTATTGCCCTTTTGGTGTTTGTGTAATATAAAGAATTCACATGAAATGCTTGTTGGTAAAGCACAAGCATAAGTTTCATTCTTTGTATTTTGTGTCCACCTGTACTACTGTGTAACTTATACACTTGAATTAAAGTACATTACATGAAAAGGGTATTTTTTTATTTTATTAAAATGTTTAAACACGAGAGAGAAAAATTAACCAATAACTTTGAATTACTGTTTGTGTATAATCAGGGTGGCCAGGCTACCTGGAAAAGTAGAAAAAGTCAGTGAAATCCAAAATTGACCAGAAGAGTGACGGAATTTAAATATTTTATTCAAAATCTAGAAAAGTCAGGGAATTTCATATGGTGATCCCCCCCCCCCAAAAAAAAACACTTTCCGCACCAACACTGAAAGTGATAACTTTCATGGCGAAATTTGTATCGCATGAGTGTCATTCGGGCAGCTGACATAGAGCCAGTTTTCACAGTGCCAGTCAGATTGTCGTTCAGAAAGGCAAAGAAAGGAAGTTTCCAGTATCTTTGTTTCCAGTAACCTCAGGAGGCTTCTGAATATGTTACTATATGCTAGATCTGATTGTGGTGCATATCATCAAGCACTTGAAGGCAAAAAACAGTGTGATAGTAAATGTATAAAAATATTTTTGGATAAAAGGAAAACACAACCACAGATTAAAATTTTGGAGTCCCCCCCCCAAAAAAAATGAGCAGAGATGTTTCTTCAGTTGACTTACAAATTGCATACTTAAAAACAAGACATCTAGATTTGTGCTGATTTTTCATTAGCATTTTTCCTATTAATGTTTATTTAAATATGCTAAATGTCAGATTTTTGTCTTGAATTTTAATAAAAAATTACATTTAATTTGTATTATATATGCTTATATTAAAAGGTTTTCATCAAAAGTCTGTTGACTTCTTAAAAAAATAAATGCTTTTTTGAATTTTCAGAAGTTAGCGAGTGTTGTAATATTACTGACATGATTGTTTGCAATTATATATTATTTAATAAAATGGATATAAGTGCATCCCATTGCCATTGTGTGAACAATAATTTCTATTCCAGAATTTAGCTATAATAATTATCATTCATGCAATAATTTTATCACATTTGATGATGCAGAAAATCCAGTGTTTTAAAAGTTCATACATTGCATTGAAAAATCAGTGAATTTCATTTCTATTGTTTATTACTTAGATGGAATGTATTGTAGATATTCAATTTCATTTAAAAATGAAAGCTATTGAGGAAAAGAACTTCTATTATAATCATGATAGTAATGCTTTGCGGATTATATATATATGTAATTAGCAAATTTTTGTGTTTTCAAAGTGGTACCATAATTAATGTATCGTTAGCACAGCCAACGAGCACTCTGCAGATAGCATGGAATTTTCTTAAAACACATTTGGAAAAGTCAGGGAATTTCATTCTCCTGTTTGAGTGGTAACCCTTTGTAATGCACTAATAATTTGTTTATCATAATTTAGTATTTTCAAAAGCTAAGCCTAAAGCTCTTTGTTGCTGAAAAGATTTTCAAATTATATTTCTGGACTTATATTTCTCTAAGACTTTGAACAATAGATGTTACAAGAATACGGTTGAATCTTGCATGATACTGCACAAGTTGAATATTTATGTCCTGTAACTGCTAAAAATTAAACATTTCTAGATCCAATATGTTCTGAGTCTTCAATGTGTGGTCTGCCAAGCTTTTTTGATAAATAAAAAAACAAAATTGTCAATGCAACTGCCTCAAATTCTTTGCCTTTCTTTAATTCCCCCCCCCATAAAAATGTTTAGGAGGAGTTTGATATTTATCTTACCCATCTCTTCTTTTATCGTGGGTCATTCAAGCACCCAATGCATTGACCTTCTTGACTAAAATAAAAGCAAAAGAAAGCATGCTCGAGGTCTTTCTTATTCTTTCAGAATGTCTGTAATGTGCAGTTGATGTCCGTTGTCCAGCTGTTGATTAGCCAGTGTCAAAGGACAACATAGATTTATAATGGAGTCTTGACAAAAACTTTGGCTTGAACAGTATATCTGATCGTGCTCCTTCTTATGACCAGACAGAAAATGTGAGTAATAACTTTACTCAAATCTGTGTGAAGGCATGTGGAAATAGAACTCTGATATCTTTCCACTGTGTCATCCTTCAAAAAAATTTGTGTAAGAACTTCTCAAACTTTGAGCATGTGATGACTGTTGTTGTAAAAGTGGCTGATTTCATCTGATCAAAAGGACTTAATCAGAAGCAATTTCAATAGTTCTTGAATGATTTGTAAGCTGAATGTAGTATGTTGTGTATTATACAGAAGTACGTTGGTTAAGCCGAGGAAGGATGCTACAGCATCTGTTTTCCTTAAAAGATGAAGTTCAACTATTCATGGAATCTAAAGGGCATCCATTTGCAAATTCAATCATGAGAAATGGTAAAGAGACCGTGCGTTTCCTATCGATATTGCTGATCATCTCAGTGATCTGAACTATTGCTTGCTGTGGAAAAGTCTATTTGTTCATAATCTTTAGGACTCTTATGAAAGCTTTTGAGACAAAATTAATCCTATGGGAAAGTTAGTTGCTAAATAAGAATTCCATTCACTGTCCAAAATTCATGAAGTTGGTGAATAAAACTGTGATATAGAACTTGGAGCATTAGGTACAGTGCAGTTCAAATCAGAGAGGGATCCAAAAGCAGATTTTCTGATCTCTTTGAGAATGAAAATTTCATACAAATGTTCTTGTCATTCTCAGACTTGAAAAGTGTTCCACCTGAACTTAATTAGAATTTGTAGATTTGCAATGTAATGTGACAGTGCAGTAAAATGCAAGTTTTTTGTAAATCCTACATTCACTGATTTTTATTCAAAGTATGTGTTTGAAGGTGAGTATCCAGGGATAAGTAATCATGCATTGTTCAGGTCTTTGATTTTTTGCAGTGCCTTTATATGTGAACAGTTGCTTACTTAAATAAAAAACAAAACAAAAACACGTCTAACAGATCAACATTTGGACAATACATTACAAATCATGGCAACACAGATTGATTCGACCAGATATCAAAGCATTTATAAAGCAAAAACAGTGCTAAGTTTCTCAGTGAGACTGTAGTTATATGAGTTTTTGTAAACAGCGGATTTTGTAAGATCATTATATACTATATATCTTTTTTTTTAATTTAAAAAAAGCACAAAGTATATTGATTTGGCTTCCATTGAACTTTATTGTTTTGAATAAAAAATATAAAGTATTTGATATTATTAAAATCAGTGAACCCATCTATGCCTTCAAAATTAATTGTACCTCCCTCTGCTATATAAATTTTCTGCCTATGCTTTTCTTTGACAGACATGTGGCTTACAGATCGTTATGAATTTAATGATGTGTTCCTTGGGCATGAAATGTTGAAGACCTTTAGCGTAGAGTATTTGCTTTTTATTTTCTTTGGCAGTACTGTGTAGTTCCGTGTTTAGCTTTAAAAAAAATCTGTGAAAAAATCTTATTTGTTCTGTTTCAAATAAGAAGTAAATTCGTACCCTATGCATGCAGCGAAAATTAGTATCCATCCTTGTTGTAGTACATCTTATATAACTTGATACAGAGGGCAGATATTATCTCTTATTTTATTTTTTTCCAATATTCAACTTTGAAGATGATTAAATCATACTTTTTCAGAATGTTGTCATGATGATTCTTCTTCAATATCAATTTTAAGTACTACTGTTAAATATCAGTTTCCTACTTTTGTCTCATGTCATTAAAAATTTGTGAATTTGTTTTAGATATTTTCTTATGTATAAATTTATCAAGATAGAAAACGAGAGACATATTATATAAATTGCGTAGAATTATACTTGATGATGTTTTGCAGGTGTTTGCAGGTATTTTGCATTCAGTATTTGCTTATTTTCATTTTCTTGTGTGTTATATATAAAATTAAAATATATTTACGTGTTTAAAATGTGTTTATATTATTTTGCAGGAGAACTTGTAGCATTAAAAAAAGTCAGGCTTGAAAATGAAAAAGAAGGCTTTCCGATTACTGCTGTTCGAGAAATAAAAATTCTGAGGCAATTAAATCACCAAAGCATCGTCAATCTTATGGAGATAGTGACTGATAAACAAGATGCCTTAGATTTTTGCAAAGACAAAGGTATGTTTAATATTCATTTATCCATTTGGTAGATTTTCTGCATTTTTATAAATTTTAATTTTTTAAAGCATAATATACATTAATGTGAGATACATCTGTGTTGTAAAAGACTTATTAAATTTCAAAATCTTTTTGTAGAAATTTGAAAATTAATTATGATGACTATTGAGGAAAGTTGCATTTGTACCTAAGCTATTTTTCAACAAAGTTGCCACCTGAATTCAGGATTTTCACAGTATTGCACCGTTCTTTGTTATTCCCTTTTTCACCAAGTTTTTCACCAGGAGATTTGTGCCACTCCTGAATACTGTCCATCATCTCTAAATAGTCAACATATCTCATTTTGTATTTCGAATTGCTTATCAAAGTTATTTTCAGTATGCTTTTCCATTAACCCCTTAACTGCCGCGGACGTATATATACGCCTTGCTCAGCCGATGCGTTAACTTTGCGAATAATTTTAGGTGTAGCAGCGCAAAGCAAATGATAGCAGTTTGGAAGGACGTATATAATACGCCTGGGACAGTTAACGCATCGACTGAGCAAGGCGTATATATACGCCCGCGGCAGTTAAGGGGTTAATGGTCGTACCAGCTCTAGAAAGGGTGTGAGCAACACTTCTTTACAGTCCCATAGCCATAAACTCCTTGTTACACACATAATTTCAACTTATGGGTTTCTTTCAGAAGCTCATGTGCATCTGCTGTTTCAGTTTTTTTCCCCCCCCCTTTGACCGCATGTTCTCAGGCTGAATCCATGTTTTGTCACTTGTTCAGAAAAGCATCAACATCTGTATGATAACATTTTAGTGCCCTCTTTATTTGTTGTATTTTGTTATTGCCCATGAGGATTATGAGTATCCACATTGCACAAAACTTGGGAAACTAAATAATAATAAAAAAGCAAAGAACAACATTTTCATAACCCAGCTCTTATCCAAGCCCTTAAAAGTATCATATGGCCCTTAAAAGTCCTTTGGTTTTTGGAAACCATTTTTGGTCCTTGAAATCCTAAATTTCGGCTAAACTCATCAAAGTGTCCTATATTTTATTCATCTAACATTTCTGTCTTATTTTGCAATTGCCATTTTGAGTGTGAATTAAACATTGTGGAGGAATGTTTTTTGGCATTGCATTGACAAATGTGATGTGTTAACATTTGAATTCCTCCCTACTTGTGTTTTCAAGAAAGTTTCCCCACCACCACAAATATCATCTGCGCAAACAGTTCACATTGGCATGTTTAATCATATATTGTCAAAACAGTTTTTGTCATTTGAAAGAAAGAACTGTGAACAAACACTGTGTTGTGAAATTTGTAAAAAAATACCGTTATCATGAAGTACAATGTGTGAATATCACGCTACCAGATTAGAACCATCATTTAAATCCAGGTCTGTTGCAAAATGTCAGCTACAGAACGTCACCAAATCATGCACAGCTTTAGGTACTAATGTTGTATCATATGACACTGTGAAGGTTTGGTATCGAAAGTTCAAAAACGAGGACTATGACATTCAAGAAGTGGAGCTCTCTGGACGTCTTTCTGATGTTGATGAGGCCCACCTTCAAGAATTTGTGGAAGAAGATCAGTATGCAACCATTCGAGAGCTTTCTAAGTAGCTAGATGTGAGTGTCATGTCCATTAGTCGCACTATGCATCACATACACTTGACGTACAAGTTCAATAGATGGGTGCCGCATGAGCTGACTCAAGCAGATAAGAACAGATGTGTTTGAGCCTGCACTAATCAGCTTGAATATGAATGCAAAGACAAAATTATGGACTGTATCATCACTTGTGATGAAAAGTGGATTTACTTCAACTCAGGTCGAAAATGAGGTTGTTCTGCACACGGTAGGCCTGTCGGCAGTGTTTCAAAGCACAGTTTGACTAACAAAAAGATTATCTGTAAAGAGTATATGTAAAAAGGTAAAGAGTATATGTAAAAGGTAAAGGGTGGTTGCTATTGTAATTATTTAAAAATTATTTTCATTTTTCTTATTTTTTCATGATAAGCATTTTGTTTCCATGTAATTGTTACAGAATGTTTAAATATGTATCAGTTTCCTCTTTAAAATTTGCTTTACACTTTTCTGAATTTTTCCACCAAGAATCTTCAGCCTTTTTGCTTTTACAGAGTTGGCTGAGGTAATTTTTCTTTTAGTTATTGCATCTTGGAAGGTTTAGAAGGATCTGAAGGCAAGATTTATAGACTTACAATTTCCCGGAAAGTTTCACGAAATGGAAAGTGTTTTCATGGTATTAACACTTAATGTACATGTTTGATAGGAAGTTTGTGATGAATTTTTTATCATTTGGATAGTTTATGGAAGAACAGTGAAAACAAAATTATTTGAATTTTTGATCCAAGAAGTCTTCTATTAACATGTTTATCATCCCATTATTTTTTTTATCTTTCCACCAGACACAAACATTGAAACTATCAAAGAAAGTATGAAATTTAAAACTGACAATTTATGAAAAGATTCATCATATATGTCTTAGTGTGCCATACATACCTCAATGCCAGCCCTAACTTCTAAAAAATTTGCCGTGCCTAAGTTTCTTTTCTCGATGTTTCAGTAAATTCTAAAAATTTTGCTACAACCAGTTCTGGCCTCATATCATTTCCTGTTTATTCTCAATACTTATATTATTAAAGATATGAAATTAGCAGTTTCTTCTATGTATTCTCAGTACAATAAGGTTTTTAGAATAACAGAAATAGTTATTTAAATCTGAAAATTCTAAAATGAGCAGGGAACTCATTGAAGAGCAAAATGATTTTATAAAGAGAGAGAGAAAATTACTCTTCAAAGGTACATAGTTGAAACATAAACATATTAGGAGAGGAATCAAAAAGCAGTGGGAATATATTTTTGTCTATCGAAACAAATAAACTAGAAAATATGCTGAAGAGAAGGAAATTGATGTAAAGTAGCTAAAATACCAGGAAAAATTTCAAATTAAAAAGATGCATAACCATTTTGTTATGCATTATTGTTTGTTATGCTACAAACATAAATGTTTTGTAGCTTTTGTTGTATAATTATACTAATATTTTATAATCAATATCATAAATTATTGCTGTAAATTGTTCTTAGTGCTTTTTAATGAATACTTGTTGTGTAAATTTGTTATGACAAAGTATTTTAAATATATGTAACTAACTGCTCACTTCAGAAATTATCCCTACCTGTTAAGTGTTGTGGTGTATATAATTTTCCTCACTCTTTAAATAAAATAAAACTACAGCACGTGCATGTGGTGAATAAACTGTTCTTTAATTACTTTCACATGAACACCAACAACAAAATCAAAATATCCGTGGGAAAAAAACTGAAAAATTGCGTTGTGTAAGAAAAAAAACTAAAGTCTAATCTAAATGCACTACAAGCCCGGTTAAGAAAGTGTATGTAAAAAGTATTATAATTATCTCATCAAAATAGCAGGTAAGATACATTTATTAAATATATAATTCATTGCAATTAGACAAGGATATTCTCTGGAGTACTAGAAGTTAGAAATCAATTTAATTTTAAAACTAACAATAATAATCTGTTCATGAAATAAACAATTAACATTTAGTACTCAGTACAAGAATAAAATTATGGGTTGCTGGCCAAGAAATTGGGGTTGGCACTGGTCGCAAATCGTTCCCATCTCTAAAGGCATATTTGAAAATATAAGTAAAGGTCTGGAGTCATCTTCTGGAAAGACTCTTCCCCCGACGGAATACTCAAATTGGCTGAAATTCGGTGACGGGATTCACGCATACCATGATGACATACTAAGCTTGCATTCCATAGAGCGGCCGTTGCACTGGTGGTGGAAACATCAGAAATTCTCGGCTCCTTCCTTCTTCACTAGGCCTACTCCGCTGGGGTGAAGCTTCAGCGAACTGGCCATGGGACTTGATGCAGAGAGTTCTATTCAACAGGTGACAAATGATTCGATACAGTAGGCTCCATCACTGGCAATCTGAAGAGGTCGAAATAATCTCCTTCGATAAAGAACTCCCCAAAAGCTGGAGTTTAATTATGATGGAAGCAGGTGGGCACGCAACAAATTCGTGGCAACATTCTACATTCAGCTGGCCCAGAAATTTGTGTTCAAAATCTCCGTTCTAACGAGCATGCAAGAGTTTTTAAATCAGAAAACTTATGATTTTCCCAAAACTCCCCAAAAGAGATGAGAAAAAAAGCTGCAACCACTTCAAGAACAAAAACGTAAAAATTTTGAAGTTTTTTCCAAGAATAATTCGCCAAAAACCATGTCAAGGCAACTAACACTTTTTACAGGACTCACCCTCCAGAAATGATTAGGAAGAAACATTGATCGCCTGTCAGAAACCAACTCTGGAAGCTTAACAAATGTGCTTCAAAGTGAACAATTCGAAGTCAGGAAATCTGCTCCATTTCTGCTAAAAATAAGTTTAATTATGAATAACTTCTCAAGCAATTAAGCTAAACAAAAACCTATAATTCCACCAGAAAGGCACAAATTTTCTGTACAAAAGCATATAAATATCAATTAGTGAAATTCATAATTTCTGTATTTAAATTGAGATAATACTCAAGAAATACTTGAAAGTCTCTTTAACACAGAATCAAACCCAAGATACCTATTTTGAGTTATCCAAATTTACCACAGTTAAAAAAATTGACTAGCATTATTAACTTTACTAAAAAAAAAAAAAAAAAAGCAGCAAACACAAAAACTGATTAAAACCTTAATATTACAAATAAGGTCTGTTGCTGAATTTTAAGATACACTTTTGAGTAAAACAATTCTTAAAAAAAAAAAAAAAAAAATGATATTTCTTCAACACCTTACAACCAGAAATTATTGATTCAAGACTTTAGTAGAAAGAGGGGTAAACGTTAACCAAACTCTAAATTAAAAAATTAATACACCAAAAATGTGTAGCAAACAAAACTTTTAAATTAAATAACGTTAAAGTTACATAACCTTTAAGGGTCAAAAGTCATTTTTACAAAACCAAAGTAAAAATTTTAAGTCTTTAAACTCAAATTAAAATTAAAAATCTTTTAAAGCTTTCAACTTAAAGTTTACCAAAAATTTACAGCTTATAACTTACAACCAACTTTAAACAAACTAAAGCAGAAATTAATAACTTCAATTACTGATCAAAACTGAAAAATTAAATAAAATTAATTAAAACTTGAAATTAATAAACAATTAATACATAACATAAGCAAGGTAAGTTATCGCCTTCCCTTAATACTTATCAAAATATGCCCAAAAAAAAGTGTCCTAAAAAAAATTGGTAGAAATACAAACAAAAAGAATAAAAGAAAAAAAATCAATAAAACTAAATGCTAAGTAAAATCCATAATCTTCTTTAACCTTTCAGGACGGGCGATCCTATACGCATTCCATAAAAGTTCAGCCGGGCGTCCCATCCACGCTCGCTGAGATTGCATTCAGTGACGGGTGATGCATATACGCATTTTAGTTGGACGTTTTTTGAGGCACTATGGCATCTAGTCCATTACTTTTGAAAGAACACAGTTTTGTTTCCTGACCTGAGTTTGTATATTTATTGACTGGTATTGACTCATAGCTCTGCGAGGGGGGGGGAGTGTGAGAGGTGAGCTCTTTAAATGCGCGTGCTAATGAAAACATTGAAAACATTCCATGTCTGATTTATCCAATTCTTTTTTTTATCTATTTTTCCTTACTAGTAGGGCTTTAGAGTTAGTATGTGACTTAGTTAAGTTTTGCATTGCCTTTCAGATATATTTCGGTTCTTCTCTTTTATTCGGAAAGCCTACCTCCAGTCTATAGGGTGGGAGCGCTATTTATCAGGGAAGAATATCTCACCGGTAATGAACCATTATAACCAGATGAGAGTGATGATCATTTTCTAAGAGTGGAGGATACTTTTCTAGTGTTAGAAGTGTACTTCTGTGTTCGAGATTTCCACAGCTTCATTCATTTTGTTACTTCTTACTGTAAACAGTCTTATTTTGTTGTTTTATAATTAAAACTTTATTGATGGATTTTTCAATAACTTGGAATATTTGATAGCGCTTCCGAAAATTATTTTACAAGATCCATTTTTAAGTATATTTTCATGTAAAATAAAGAAAAATGTTATTAAGTGCGATTTTACGTTTAAGAGCTCAAGTATAATCTAAAATGAACAAAAAATTATGATGCTAGAAACGAAACTTTTTTATCGTTTTTTTTAAATAAATTAGGCTTAGCGATGCAAAACCTTCATCCTGTACGGTGACTGCCTTCCTTCCTTCTGTCCCCACGAGCGTCTTAAGAAGGTGCGCGTCGTTATAGTTAAAATATGTTGACTGTTCGATTGTAGTATATTGTTGAAAATTTTATAATTATTTCTATCTCTACTTACTTAAAATTATTTACAATTATTTAAATTATTTTCGATTATTATTTACAATTTTAAATACAAATAATTTATTTAATTTCAAATTACAAAAGTAAAGTTTGGTTGTATATAATTACCTTAGTTTATTCAGTTTCTATTTCTTGAGAGATCCTTAATTTGTTTCATTGGTGGTCCTTAAAATGTACATAATTTCCACTTGGAGAAATGTGTACAAATTTTGCTTTCTTAATTTAATTAAATTCGTAAGATGATCTAATATTGTGAAGCAGTGGTAATGGATGAATCATTTTTTAATGTAATTCAGCAAGCATTCTTAACGTCTACTGTGAGGATAATTCACAATCTATCTGCTGTGCTAGATGAAATTCTAAATCCATCAGAGCGTAGAGATATCAGAGCAGCACTCTTTGACTATGTTTCTTATGCACATCTATTCTTCTGTTTGAAATTTTTTGTGTTCTTACTACGCATGAACTTTAGTCATATACTTCTCTCCATATGTAATATTCATTATGTGATGGGTTTCAGCTGTACTGTGTACTTCTGCACTTAAAAAGCAAATAAGCACTGCAAAATGTCTTTCCCTGTGATTACTATTTCTCACCTTGTCTTTGCCATCCAATCAGTATAGGGATTAGCGTCGTTGAATGCCGTGCCGAAGGACCCGGGTTCGAATTCCGGTGAAGGCATGTATGTTTCTAAATGTATAGTGTTGGTGCTGCATGACACCACTCTCTCATGTGGTTTCAAGGAAGGGGTGAGGGACCCACAAACACGTCTCCTGGGGTGCTGTCCATCAAAACAGGAGGCGGAACTGAGCAAATTTTCACTGTCACCTGAATGGTGCTCAAGGCTGTTGCCAATGGCAGGCATAATCTAGCGCTCCTTGCCAAAAGGAATTTCATGGGCTTGGGCTGACTACGTCAGACAAGTGAGCTAAAGGCAACTACAACAGCACCTTGTCTTCATAGTTGATATTCATTCTTTGATGGATTTCAGCCTGCAAAAAATGACCTTGTTTAGAAAGAGCATTTACACCAGCTGCCATTTTTCATTCACTATGAACAAGCACTGAACATAGCAACCATTCACATCAGTTTGTGTTAAATAATTTATACATTATTAGCCCAAAGGCCGTTAGCCGAGAAGGGTGATTAATTTCATTTTGGCATTTTGCGTTTGCAAAATTTAAATGTCCATTTCATTTTTCAAATTGTTGCCACCAAATATTATTGCCCTGTATTATATTTAAAGAAATTAAATAATGAAGAATCTGCTTAGCTTTAACTTGGAATTTGTTGTATTAGCAATTTTATATTTTGTAACACATTAACAAATTTTTGATTAACAAATTAAACGATTTCAAAGCAAGCAATGGCAACACTATGAAAAAAAAATAATATCTCCAGTGCGCAAGTGTGTATTGAAAATTCTAAAGATATGTTCATTTTAAAATTATATTGTGAGATTGCTGATTAACTTGAAAAAAGAAAGTAAAACTTCTGATTTTTTATAAAGAGGAATTATAATGAGGCATTTTATGTAAAGAAATATTTATAATGATAGTTATATTGATATGAATTAAAAATGGAATAATTAAGTATAAAGCTTTTATGCAATTTCATGAAAACATTTCGTGTTTTCTGTGTTCTTAGGGGCCTTTTATCTTGTTTTTGAATATATGGATCATGACCTCATGGGATTGCTAGAATCTGGTTTGGTAGAATTTTCAGATATCCACATAGCATCATTTATGAAGCAGCTGCTGGATGGTTTGCGCTACTGTCATCACAAAAATTTTTTGCATCGTGATATAAAATGCTCTAATATACTTATGAACAACAGGTAAGCTTGTTTTTTGCTTTCACTAATGAAATCAAAACTCACTAATTAATCATTTCACTGCATATCTTGTCTGTTAAAATGTAATGATTTTAATCAAGTTATTTATTTGTATTCTTCTCTATTAACTTCTTATATATTCCTTTAATATTCAGAATGAGTATTGAGGCTCACTAACGCCCAAGCGATTGTTTTTTTTTTTGTTTTATTTTTAACATCAACATATTTGAACAATTTCAGTATAATATTATGAGACATTATAAGAATGAAATTACTTTTAAAATTTTGATCGTTTTAGCTAACATATTACAACTGTAAATATATTTCTGTAGCACTAGTAAATAATTATGAATAGCAAAGATACTCTTCATTTGAAGGAGGAATGCAGTTGCAATAAGAAAATTCATCATGTTATTCATATTTTTTAAAATAATATGTTTAATTTTCTAATAGTAAATTATACAAATTGCTAATAAAAAATTTCCAAATTATAATTAATATGTAGGGGTGAAATGTATATCTTTTGGGCAACAGTGTAGATGTAATAGTATGAAGTAGTTAATATGGTATTTAAAAATATTTCTTTTGAAAGTATGCTGCTTGAAACTAGCTACAGTTGGAAATTTTATACCGTGTAGTAACATAAATATTTTTATCTTCCTAAAGATTTCTACTTCTTAAGATGGCTTCACATTATCCAAAGCCTTTCTTTATGGAAACACAGTTTAGTGTATTAAAGGACAAAATTTAAGCCTTTCTAAAATTTGAATAAATTTTAACTTCTGAAGTTTTTTATAATTAATACATTCATTGCCATAAAAACTTAGATGCCGAAAAAGAGTTATCAGAAGCAAAATTTTATGTAAGTGCAACTTTGATATAAATAAATGATTACAAAATCAAAACAAAAGGATAATTTATTACAGGAAGAACTGTAAATGAATTGAGGTTCGAGTATTACTAGGGCACCTCTAGCATGAAAACACAATGTAGTATGGTCCCATATGGTGTCTTGCGTCATCTTATTCTACAATTGCTGTAAGTGTACTTCTAATTCAGCCTAATTCCTAGGCTGTTCAACTTGCTATTGCTAGTAATTTCAAACATATTTGATCAGCGACAAATCTGGGGATTGTGCAGCCATTAAAAGATGGTAATGTGGTGGAACACATGTGGCTGAAGGATGTCATGATCATACTACTGCCCTGCTGATGTGCTGTAGATCAATATTAGAAGTGACTGTTTGTTATGTGCAATGTTACCTCATACCATCACACCAACTATAGGAGTTGTATGCCACTGTAAAGCAGAGGCAGGATTGAAACGTTCACCTCAGAGCCTCCAGGCACGTACATTGTTGTCATCACTTCCTAAACTAAATATTGATTCGTCACCGAAGGTGACCTAGTTTTTGAAGGGCCATTACTGCAAGTACTGTGAGTATCTGGATAGCAGATAATGATGCAGTTACCACTGTGTGTGTCGGAGGATGTGATGATCCTGATGATTCTTTCCCTCTCGAGTGCTTCATATTGTCTGTAGTTGCACTGTAACAGCGTCATTAGTGAAAAAAATTTACCTCTCCTGATCAGATTTCAGAGAAATGCCTCTGCATATCTTTTTTATGTGTCAGGGAGAATGGAATTCAACATTTTATAATGGCAATGTGCTCAGTCATGCTGCATTTCTAAACATTTACATATCTGTCTAACGTGTACCTTCATTCAAGTTTTGTTACAATTCGAGAATTAATTTTGGTGTGCAGATTTTTGTGGAAGTGAGTGTAGACTAATATGTGTTGTTTTATGAACATCAACACATTATTCATTATTTGTTTTTTATTTGAAGGTGCTTAAAGTAATTCTGCTAATCAGGAATAATATCAGAACTTTTAATTATAGGAAAGGTTATCACTTTTATTAATAGGTAAAAAGTTATTTATATTTTTTTTCTCCTATTATTGCTGTCCATTGTATCAAATTGGCATTTTTTTTTTTTTTTTCTTCCCCAGAGGCCAAATTAAACTAGCAGACTTTGGACTTGCTAGATTGTACAATGCTGATGATAAAACTAGACCTTATACAAATAAAGTTATCACATTATGGTACAGGCCACCAGAATTACTTCTAGGAGAAGAAAGATATGGACCTCCTATTGACGTTTGGAGTTGTGGGTTAGTAAAATTAATTTCATTATATGAAATGTGTCATTTTTAAGTATAATGATAAATCATTTCTAGCATGAGTAGAATGCATTCAGGTGCATGTAGAATTTCTAGGAATGATTAAAGTGTTAGCATAGAAATATTATTGTAATATATAATTTGCATATAGTTATATCTCCTTATTTATTTTCTAAATCATGTTCTTAACACAACGTTTTCCATACTGATTGCTTGGGGGGGGGAGAATTAGAGTGGTGCACTGTGTTTGCTATTCATGATACCTTTTATTTTTGGAATATAACTCTGATAGCAAAACAATGCAATAAAGTTCTGTATGCATATTGTCATTTCCCAGTGTTACTTCAGTACAAATTGCAATAATTTATATATGTTAATTTTCAATTTGGGTCTGTAAAGAATAAAAACAGATAAAGATAAAAACAAATAAGGTGTGATGCTGAATGTCATTGAGATTTTTGGAAGTTTTATTAAAAGTTGAAGCATTTTATTAGGTGCAGTATGTGAAAGCATATTAAATCATATTGCGTTTTTAATTAAGACAAAATTTAACCACATACGCAAAGAACATGTATGACTTTTATATGTTACAAAGTAATTTTTGGATGTCTTACTGATATTATAAGTAATAAATGTTATCTGTTTAAGATGCTTAATAGTTTATTGGTTTTGTTTTCCCACATTTATTTGAGATTCTACCGTATATTGAAGTGGTTACGTTATGTTTCCTTTGACAGTTTTAATTTTAAAGTTCCATCATTGTTAACAGCCCAACAATTTTATTTTTTGATAATATTTGACCAATAATATTGTGGTAGCCAATTTTTCTTTGAAATGCATTTACCTAACTGTTTGTCTCAATTTTTTGGGAGGAGGTTGTGATATCTGGCGACTGTTTGGCGATCAACAGAGCATGCTTGGCGCATGTAGCTCTTCTCCAAGAAGTGTTAATGTATTTATAGAGAGTTGCATGTTAGCCTCGGAAGAGGAAGGTTGTAGATTTTGCCCTATTAAACAATGAAGCCATTACAACACGCTCTCTTACGAGATCATCAGAGAGTTAGAAGCTGATAGCGTTGAAAATGGAAGAGGAGTAAAGTTAAGCCTAACACACGAAAGAAGTGCGCATTTGCCAAAGGGAGTAGAAACATGAGAATTATTTAATCACGAGTTCGAAAAGCTTGATTCCAAAGGAAAATAAAAGAAAATGTTCAAAAACGCAAAGAAAGAGGATTTAGTAACAGTTCTGTTGGAAACTGGCAAAGAAGCATCCCCAGATTTGAAGCTGGTAGAACTGAAACACAAACTCCAGAATAGCAAGGAATACATCGAAAATGCTGATTTCGTGAAAGAAATTCTGATTACTACAGTGGAGAATAGAAAAAGAAAATAAGAAATTTAAAGACTACAAATGGAAGAAGAAAGATTAAGAACAGAAAGAAAACACAAAATAGAATTAGCAAAGATTTGAGCAACTAAAAATGAAGGAAGTAGAAGTCCAATACCTTCATTCCAAAACACAAGGCGAGAAACCGAAATTTCTCTCGACATGCTGATTATAGGAGTAGAAACACTGACTATATATACCAGTACCGAAGAGAGCAGAAGCATGAAATATATTTTTCGATTCTATCAAAAGAGCATTTAACAGGCATGAAGGAATTTCGCTTTTTTGAACGTCACCCGGGCTGTTTCTGAGATCGATGGAGAAATGTTGAGAAATCGCGACCGGCAAATGTGTGTGTGTGTGGGGGGGAGGGATAAACGGAGGACACGCTCTCTCTCTCTTCCTCTTTTCTTTGTAAAAAAACTTTACATCATGCCAGAGATCGCGAAATACGTTGTTTTACATCAAGGCGAAGTAGGTGGGGCTTATGTGGAAAGGCGGAACTAGATACGTACGAATATTGAATCAAAGAAGAGCAAGCAACCGTCAAACGAGAATTGACTTCAATAATTTCAGCGATCGGTGCTGGCGCCATCTGTCGGACATACGGATAACCACTTGCATTCTTCAATACACAAAACTATGTAAAAGTTTAAGGAATGCTCATAATTTGTACAAAGAAGTGCTAGAGATAAAAAAGGAGGAGCGAGAATTAAGAAAAAAGAAAAATAATTAAACTTTGCAGAAAATAAAGAAGAGAATAAAAAGTATCAATGGATTGTATAAAAGCTGCTGAAAAGAAATTGAGACTAGCTCGCAAACGGAAATTAGAAAAGTTGGCTGTGAAAGTAGCAAAAAAGAAAAAGCTTTTTCCCTAAAAATTTTTAATCAGGATCGAGTGAGACAGACAAAATAGTTATTTTTTATATTCCTCCTTTAACTATATGTTATTTTATAACTATAAATGACTCACACTTTCACTGACTGACACAATCACATGACTGCTTTTTCTGGTGTTATATAAAGTACTGTTTATTGAACTAAAGTGAAGATAATTGAAAGCTATAGTAACAATTATATATATATATATATATTATCTCTAAAACTTGTCATTGCTTGGAAATGGGCAATAATATATAACATAAATATGTATATTAGTGTGTTGTAATGTTGTGTACGGTATTCATGTGTCAACTGTTAAAATAAGTTACATAAAGAGCATCTTAAAGAAGATTAATTCATTACAATCTCTTGGTGTTTTACTGATTTTTTTTTTTTTTTACAAGTGGAAGATAAAATTAATAGCAAAATAGTAAGTACAAGTATTATTTTAGTTTAGTTATATGTATATGTTTAATACTTTTTATATTAAAAGTTTGATATTTTATTAAAATGTGTGTTTTTTTAGGTCGCACGTGCGCATTTAGTTTTTGTGTAATTTTGTGTCCGCGCGTTGTTCAGCTTTTTTTGCCAACTTGCACTTTCATGCCTGATTTAAGCACAAGAAGGTTCCCGAAGAATACAGATCGAAAATATTATTGAAATTAATTGGAGAAAAAGCTCCAAATGTTCTTGTTTATATAAAGGAGGAAGATCTACAAAATTACGAAAAAGTGAAAACTGTTGTTCTGAAGGAATACCAACGTACTCCTCAAACCTGTTTCAGAAAACTAAACGTTTATTCCGGCGAAACGCATATCCAGTTCGCTTCAAGACTAACAGCTACATGGGACTATTACTGCAAGTCAAGAGAAGTAAAGGATTTCGAAACACTCAAGGAGCTAATTATTTCCGATAAATTATTCCAAGCTTTAGATGAAGAAACAGCTGCACACGTCGCAATACGCCAAGGAAATAAATGGCTGAAGCCTCAAGAATTAGCTACAGAATGTGATATTTATTTCACGGCCAAAGGAAAATCTTTCGACGAAGTTCGAAATGGAATTAAGCGATCACCGAGATTCCTGGATACAACATGTGCACAAGATAAATATATTCCGCCACCCATGAGAAAAGAATATCCAAAACACGAAAGATCTCACACGAGAAGAAAAGAATGTTATATTTGTGGAAAACTTATCAACATATCGCAAGAGATTGCCCAGACAAAAGAAGAAAGAATGAACCTGCAGTAAATAGGAAGGGAAAGGATGATCTCAAAACTCAAAAAAGTTCAAAGAAGAAGCCATCGTAGCTAAAGTAGACTCATCCCATCTACGATCCGAATTCGCAGAACGCATCGTTCAACCACTGAAAAAAATAGATGTTTTTATTAACTCTGAGAAAATCGAAGCTATCGTAGACTCTGGAACGCAGATAATGATCGTACATTCATCGCTCATTCCAGATTTAGAGGAGAGAGAAGGAGGTAAAATATTGCTAACACCTGCTTTTGGACAACCAATTGAAGCAAAAGTTTGCCGTGTACCTATTTACCATAAAGATCATGGAAACAATATATTTAATTTTGTGGATATATTAATTGCAGTGACTGATAAGCTAAATGTGCCTTGCCTATTAACTCCAGAAATACACGAACTGTTGATTAATCCTTCAGCGCAGAAAGAAATAATTGCGGAAAAGAAAACGTGCAAAGTTTATTCACCAATGCATAGTCAAACGACAGCGTCGAGTCGCCTACACGAAGAATAAACTGTCTCTCGCTGAGAGAAGCATGGAAGCTGGCTATAGAAAAAAAAGGAAATTATTTATTGATCATCTTTTACATCACCAAGAAAAAATATTAGGACAGACTGTTTTTCAGTTAGTGCTTCCGCGTAGTAGAAGAGCACAAGTGTTGGAATTAGCACATAGTTCCATTTTCGGTGCACATCTTGGAATAAGAAAAACAAAGGAGCGAATACGATATTCATTTTATTGGCCTGGATTAGCACAAGATGTCGAAACCTTTTGTAAAACGTGCAAAGATTGTCAGTTGAAAAGTCCAGAAAAGCGATCTGACAAGATTCCCATCACACCGGTCAGAAGGCCAGGATTACCTTTCGAAACAGTTAACATCGACATTATTGGACCTATTGAACCTCTCTCTGCTAGGAAACATAAATATGTGTTATGTTTGGTAGATCAACATTCCCGATCGCCAGAAGCCATTCCACTGAGGAGCTTGACAGCAAAAGCCACTTGTGACGTGCTTTTGGAGATTTTCATGAGAACAGGAATCCCTAATAGCTAGTGACAACGGAAGTAACTTTGTTTCAAAATTAACTAAAGAATTCCAGAAAAGACTAGGTTCTCTACACCTGCTTACAGTGCTTCAAATGGATTAGTAGAAAGATGGAACAAGTCCTTCAAGCAAATGTTACATCATGTCATCAGGACTGATCCTTCGAATTGGGATAAGCACATCCCATACCTGCTCTTTGCATACAGAGAAGTACCAAACTGCACCACGGGTGTCTCACCATTTCAGCTGATGTACGGAAGACAACCAAGAGGTCCTTTAGCAGTACTGAAGTCTTCATGGTCAGGAGAAATACCTATACCACCTAATCTAAGTGAATCGGCAGTGGATTACTTACAGCATTTAAAATAAGGTTAGAACAAGCAGCCGAACAAGCCAATTTTAATTGCAAGTGATAAACAACAAAAATATGCTGAGTACTTTAATCGGAGATCAATACCAAAAAATTTCAAAATCGGGGAACAAGTTTATTTACTCATACCCAGATTCAAATAACAAACTCTATGCACGATGGACTGGTCCAGGAGGAGAAATCGTGAATCATTGCCCACCTCATTCCTATAAAGTAAAACTACCTGATGGAAAGATCAAACATGTTCATGCAAATAAAATTAGAAAATTCCAAGCTAGTGTCAATGCAGTTGGAGTGATATTTTGAAAATGAAGAAGAATTTGGAGAAATTATAACTTTACCAGGAAAAGATCTCTCGACCCCCCCTGGAAGATTTTAAAATAAATGCAAATCTGAATTTAGAAAATTTAAATCCGCAGCAAAGAAGAAAATTGATAGCTCTTATCAATAAACACCGAGCACTATTCACCGGAAAGCTGAAAATAGCTAAAGTTGAAGCTCATAAAATTAGATTAATACCCAATATGGAGAGGAAGAAACCTTACATTTATAGGATTCCTGAAGCATTGAAAACCAAGGTCGATGAAGAAGTAGAAGAATTATTGAAATCGGGACTAATAGAAGAAAGTAATGCAGAAATAGCTCATCCAGTAGTTTGTGTAAGCAAAAAAGATGGAAATATTAGATTGTGTCTAGATTATCGAGCATTGAATGCAGTGACGAAGCCAGATGACTTTCCTATGCAAAATGCCATTGATTTAATGTACAGTATAGGAAGAGCCAACGTCATAACAACTTTGGATTTGCTGAAAGGATATTGGGCAATTCCCATGGAGGAACAAAGTAAAGAGTACACATCCTTCAAAACTCATTGAGGTCAATATCAGTTTAAAGTGCTACCCTTTGGACTAAGGAACGCAGCAGCAACTTTTCAGAGAGTAATGAATAACGTGCTGAAAGAATTTCAACAATTTTCCAGAGCCTATATTGACGACAAAGCTGTATTTTCCATGGATTTCGACACTCATCTCCAAGACCTGGATAAAGATTTCATAATTTAGAATCACTTGGATTTACTATTAATTCGAAGAAATGTTCATTTGCAAAACCTCAAATTAAATATTTAGGACACATTATTGGATCAGGAAAACATCAACCAGATCCCGAGAAAATAGAGGCAATCAAGAAGCTGGAAACGCCGAAAACGAAAAGAGATCTTAAAAGTCTGTTAGGATTATGTAATTATTATCGCGATTATATCCCAGGGTATGCAGAGATCGCCTACCCACTCACAGAACTCACGAAAAATAAACAACCGGAAATACTCGAATGGAAAGAAATTCATGAGTCAACATTTCAACAACTGAAGGAACGATTAGCGATGTCAACGGAGTTGATCACCCCAACACTGCAGGATCCGTTTGTCATTCATTCTGATGCATCCCAAATCGGAATAGGTGCATGTTTATCACAGCAAAGGGGAGAGAAACAATTTCCTGCATGCTACGCGAGCAAGAAATTATCGAAACCTCAACAGAGCTGGCCGACTATAGAGCGTGAAGCTTATGCTATAGTATGGGCATTGAAGAAGTTTGAACCTTGGATATTCGGTTCATCGATAAAAATTATTACTAATCATAATCCTCTAGCCTTTATAGTGAGAAATGCTTCACAATCGTCCAAATTACAATGATGGGCCATAGCTTTGCAGAAGTATAATCTTGAAATAGAATATTGCCCTGGAAAAAAAATTGTCGAACGCAGATGCATTTATCCAGACTCCCCACCTGTGAACTTTGAACATTAATTTACTGTTCATCTTCATGAACATTTTGTATAGTTAACAATTAGATAGTTTTTCTTTGCTTTTCTTAATAATTTTACAATTTTGTGCCAATAAGATGTTTATGTAATTTGAAATAGATAGAAAAATTATTGGATGACAAATATTCGAGGTAAGTGGTAAGTTTAGATATTTGTCTTCCAAGGATATAAATCATACTGCAGCATTATTAATTAAAGAGAACGTTAAGAATAGAATTTTATATCTATATATAAGAAGCTTAATAATTTTACTGTCATCATTAGAATAATACTAGGGTATATTTTAACATGTTTATAAAAAAAAAATATCCACTTGGTTTCTTTGAGTTGATAAATTGTTACAATAATAATAATGTTCGAAACAAGTGGGGTGAAGTTAAAAATGTGTTATCTATGTTTATATATGGTTATGTAGTAAATTAATGTGTAATTGTAGGTATTACATTGCAAACGTCTATGGTAGTTGAAATTTGAAAATTAGGATAGAATGTATAAATGCATATGTAGTTTTTTCTTTTTCTCATTGATCGCAAACAGTTGCTAGATTGATGATTGATTTGTAAATAGCATCAACAACAATCTTACGACGGGAGTGTGATATCTGGCGACTGTTTGGCGATCAACAGAGCGTGCTTGCCGCATTTAGTTCTTTTCCAAGAAGGGTTAATGTATTTATAGAGAGTTGCATGTTAGCCTCAGAAGAGGAAGGTTGTAGATTTTGCCCTGCGGTAGAAGTGACGAACCACTCAGATTTCACTATTATGCTTTGAACGTTATTTCCTAATAAATGTTTGTTTCGTCTTGTTAAATGGTGCCTTATTAAACCACGAAGTCATTACAGGGTTGTTTCTTTAATTTTGGTGTATCAAAATTTGATTTTTATGTGGAATTGAAATATATACCCTGTGTAAATTTAATAATCAAATTATATAACAGGTGCATATTAGGAGAGCTTTTCACGAAAAAGCCAATATTTCAAGCCAATCAGGAAATGGCTCAGCTTGAAGCTATCAGTCGAATTTGTGGGACCCCTTGTCCTGCAGTGTGGCCTAAAGTAATCCAGTTACCACATTGGCATACCTTCAAACCAAAGAAGCAGTATCGTCGTAGGTTAAGAGAAGAATTTTCTTTGTAAGTTTGTTTTGCATTAGCTGTTATTGTTATTTTTGATACTTTGCTTTATGCATAAAATGTTGCAATTAATAGTGTGCTTCTTTTTGTAACAATTATTTGCTAAAAGAAAGTTATCTCTTAAAATTTATTCAGCCCTTTTTTATTGAAATTTAAAAATATAAAATTTAAACTTGATTAATGAAAGAATTTATTTTTAATATATGCCATTCAGTCAGAAAAAGCTTTGTTATACAAGTTTTCCATGTACCGTGAAAATTTTGAAAAGTTGGGAAAAATATAAATATTTCAAAAAATCAGAATGCTTTCAAAAAATTTTTTAAAAATGTATTGATAAGTCCTCTTAAGGAATAAAAGTTTGTGTTTTAAATAATATCTAGTAAACAAGAATTGCCCCTTTTGAAAAAAGTAAGAAAACAAAAGGTTATTTTGACCCCGCCCTTTTTTTCAGAAAGTTTATCAACTCATAATTGTCTTCACCTGTTAATGTGCTGTTTGTTCTTCTGTCTAAAATTACCAAAATTGTAAGAAAAGTCTATTGTAAATTTAAAATAAGCTTTACAGTTTTATTTTGAAACACCAAATATTTTATTATGAATGATGTACTTTTGCAAATGATGTTTGTACAATGATTAGATTTTTTCTGGTCTGATAGTTCTTTTTAATGCTAAAAAGAGCAGAATTTTTCATTTTTTAAAGTTAACCTGTTATTTTGATAGGATGAAATATAATCAGCGATACATTTTATATCAGATATTTTTTATAAATAACTTTTCAGTATTTTAAATTTAGAATTTTTTCTTATTAACAAGCACTAATAATCTATCAAAATGTGAGATTCTGTGAGTCTTGTGTAATTAGGTACAAACATTTTAAGTAAAAATAAAGTATTGTTAGCATTCTTATTATAACTGTAGCTAATTAATTATGTGAAAACATATTCATGAACTTATTGCAAATAATGTGAATAAAATTTATATTAATTTGATATGAAGTACATACATACTATACAATGCTGCTGCTGAGAGGAAAAAGTGCATTTATTGTTTCATTTTCCATCAGTCAAGTTCTAATAATAAGTGATACTTCCACATACTATAAATTAATGCAGTTGTGATTTTCTACAAACTGATCTTTTGCGTGTGTAGCATATGTATTCAGTTCTACTTTTATTACATTTTTCAAGTTGTAATGGCGTGTGTTAAAATTTTACCAGAAACTTTTGGGACAGAGCTGAAAATTCATTTGGTAGTCTTATGTTTTCATTGAAATTCTTGAGGAAGTTGCAGAAGAAAGTCTTGTGTGAATTTTGCTTCTTGCAGCTTCATTGTATAGAAATTCATTACCCGTTTGTGACAAATGGCGGTAATGAACTTGTGACTCTTTCATTTTTCACATTTCTTTTTGCAAATATGTTATGCCACCAGATTTTATTAGTATAGTTCAATGTTGGAAACTCCTGGTTAGCTGTAGGGGGGTATATATGTGTATATAAGAGCATCTGTTGCAATGTCTTCATTTTATGCTGGTGCCGCATCAGAAGTATGAGGATAATGACAAAAGTATGACTGTAACAACAAACACCTTTCAGTTTTCTCCCCCCCCCATTTTTTCTCTGAAAGTAAATTAAAGCTTATTTTTGCGACTTATGACCAAACCAGAGCTTGTTTTAAATGCCCCTTCCCCAGAATTTATCTGATATTCCAAGTTTCAGTAGAACAAAATTTTCATTTTGCTTGAATATTCAACAATGAGCATGTTCATTTCCACCTTGGAGAACACTGAAAAGAGTCTTTCTTTCTATTTTATTATGTCTCCTTTTGTCAGTGATCCCATGATGAACAATGTGTTTTAAAAGATCTCATTTTCAGATGAAAAATCAGTTGTTGGAAACAGTGGAGAAAACATACAGAAGTGCTTATATATACACAGTGACATTTTTACTGGATTCTTTTAAAACATTTTTACTTGTTTTCCATTATTGCTGTCAAAATGACAGTTCTGGACTGGATAGGTATACAGTACATTTTTCCTTATTTCATTCATAACTTAATAAAATTTTGAAAAAATGTGTATAAATCATGTAAATATAGAAAAATTATAAAATCTGGCTCAACAAATAAAAACATAGCACCCAAAATAAATCTGAAGGCATCAAAAAGAGGTCAATTTCGTTTCTAATAATAAAAAAAACTTCCAGCCTTTTTTAGTAGCTTAAATGCTTATTCTCTAAACATATATGTTTTTCAATTTTTATAGCATTTTAAGGATGGTAATTTATATTTTTATAATAATTTTAATTATTGTAATGTATTTTGTAATAAACATTAAATTTTATTTAATTACTCATACTAAATTTGGTAATAAATTCATTATATTTGGTCAGGAAAATTGTCACACTTGGTGATGGAAAATCAAAACTTAGAATTTCAGTATAAATTTCTTTCTAATAAATAACAGTAATGACCTGGAAGAAATTACAAATTAAAGTAAATAGAGATTTTATTTGACAGTTTTAAAATACACTAATGGCATGGCTCTGCAAACTAAAAAATTCATTTCATGTTTTCTTTAATAAATTTACAAATGTAATTCTTCTGGGATATATATCGCATTACATTGTTACCACTGTATCTGCTGATAATTTATTCCATTATCAGTTGCAGACAATATAAAATATATTAACAGATTAATTAAACATAAGAAATATTATCATCATAGAATAAAGTTGTGATATCGTGCACTATATTCTAGTACATAGTACATTTATACAGCAGTGATGGCAAACTTCTCTATGCACTAGAGCTAGTGTAAGATGGGTACTGGCTTTATGAGCTGCACTATATACAAGGTGTGGCTATAAATATCCAGGCTGAATGTCACAGCATGAAACCAATCACTCGCCCAAGAGAGGTGCTGCTGGTATCTGAAAAGTAGTACATCTGCATATGTGCAGCGCGGGTCAATTATAGACTTGAACAAGTGAGCTCGGCTAGGAAAAACGTGTGAAAACATATCTGGTGAAGTGTTGTTGTCAAAGTTGTGTTGTGGAAGTGCTGAAAGGAACAAAGGATGAACATCAAATTCTGCTTCATACTGGGCAAAAAAGCAACAGAAACACATGCATTGTTGAAGCAAGTGCATAGAGAGCAAGCATTATCCCATTCCCGCACATTTGAATGGTATGGACGGTTTCAGGGCAGCCATGAAAGTGTTGAAGATGACTCCCACACCGGAAGGCTGATTTCCATGCGTATGCCTGAAACAATTGAGAAAGTTCATGAGCTTAAAACAGTGGATAGGCGACTGACTATTTGAATGCTGGCCAGTGAACTGTCTAGCGACGAAGAGGTGGTTCGCTAAATTCTGATGTAAGACCTAGGGAAACGCAAGGTGTGTTCCAGATTTGTCCTGCACTGTTTATTGGACAATCAGAAGCAAGTCAGAATGGACACGTGTGGCGAACTCATCGACAATGCTGACTCTGCTTTCCTGGATTCGATAGTGACAGGTGACAAATCTTGTTGCTATCAATGTGACCCTGAAACCAATCGACAGAGCAAAGAATGGTGGTCTCCCAGCTCCCCGAAACAGAAAAAATGTTTCAAAAATCAAAGGTCAAAGTCATGTTAATCACTTTCTTCCATAGTGAAGGACTTATTTATCATGAATTGTCCCACCAAGCACTACTGTTACAGGACAGTTTTATGCAGAAGTTCTTCCCCGACTCCGATAAAGAATTTACAGAGTACGTCCCCGTTTTCGACAAAATGGGAGTTGGCTTCTGTTGCATGGCAACGCTTGCCCCCCACATTGCTTTGCCAGTGAAGACATTTTTAGCCAAGCATGAGGTCGAGGAGCTGCATCATCCGCCATACTCTCCTGACTTGCTCCCCCTCTTCGACTTTTTTTTTTTTTGTTGTTGCCCAAACTCGAAACTGATCAAAGGAATACACTTTGTGGAGAAGACATCAAGAAAAACATGACGTCACTGAAGAGCCTTCTGAAAGAGGACTTTTAAAAGTTGTTTCCACAACCTATACAGCCAAGCACAGAAGTATGTTATGGCAAATGGGGGTTACTTCGAAACATATTAAAAGGTTATGTTTTTCACATCATCTGTACTGGTGCTATTAGAGCAGTCCTGGAAATTAATAGCCACACCTTGTATGTGCACATGCAAAAGGGGAGAGAAAACACTATGATGGTTGGAATTCTTCAAGAAATTATATTTGCATTATTATAGATCATTATGTATGGATATTTTTTTCAAAAAGGGTAACTGATAATTATATTAATTGTCTGAAAAAAAATTCAAATTCAGATTCCAAGGAAAATTTTGTTTCATTTTACTCCTTGAAAATTTAAACACTTTTTGAGAAAATATAATTTTGCACACTTTTTAACTACTACTAATCGACAAAAAATTGACAGAAAAGTAGGGAGAGTTAATCAGATTGTTATAATTAGATAAAATGCAAAATGAATTCAAGTATTCTTTAGTATTGCTTACAAAAAAATTGCTTCCTTAGATTATTGCTATATGTAACAATATATCTTATTATGTAATTAAATTCCCTGTATCATATTTAATATATGACAAAAATCCCTTAATTAAGGATTAAAATTTATTGCCAGTGATATAAAAAGCTAGAAAAACTGATCCCAGCTCATAAATATGTTATGGTGGTTCCATAAACTGGCTTCTTTGCTATGTTAGAAATTGTGTTTATCAGATTCCTTTTACTAATTTGCTGGAACCAAAGCAGCATATCACTGTTGCTGTTAATTTCATAAATCCTAAGATGTTTGCTAATACTTGCATGATATTGAGTACTAGTTGGATTAATTTACAACAAAATTTAATTATTACATTGTTATTGAATGAAATCATTTTCTATTTGTGTCTAGTTTTTTTGAGGGGGGTAATATAAATTTTAAGTGTGGCCTGTAATTCTCAGACACCTTGTATTTCTCTTCAAATTATTCAAAAGTAAATATATTTGTTTTTAATTATAGATTTATTTGTAAATCTGCTTGCTATCTATAATGTAAAACTAATATTAATAGCTTGCGTATGAGTAAACATTTCAAGTGCAAATTCAAGTGTTTCAAGTTCAAAGATGAATGAGTGATACTTAATCTAAATTATGCAATAAATATTAATATCGAGTATTATAATTTTGTATATGCGTTAATTAATGTTTGCAGTAATATGTATTAATGTTCATTAAATATTAATATCCAGTACTAGTATTATAACTTTTGTTTCTTAATATTTTACTAATAGATTATTAAGCTAATATTTTAATTTAATTTTTTTAGCATGCCGGGACCAGCTTTGGACCTTCTTGATCAAATGTTAGAGCTTGATCCAGATAAAAGAATAACTGCTGAAAATTCTTTAAAGTGTCAATGGCTTAAAGATATTCACCCTGAAAAAATGGAGCCTCCCGAGTATGTGAAACTGTCAAATTTAAAATTCAATTTCTTTTTAGTCAATTTGCTGTGCCAAAACAAAGCTGCCATGGAGAAGAAGTAATATTAAGTGCATGCTATGAGGAACAATACTTCTAAGTGCATCATATTTTCAATATTTATTGTGATAGATACTAGTTGATATACAGGGGTTGTAAATTAAATTGTGGCAACTTAACCTTGTAACTCGCAGAAGGGCGGGCATACGCAAATAGGATATGGGAGCAGTGAGGCGGCGCAGTTGTCGATGTGTAGAGTGCAAAAACCAGTCGATCTGCCTAGAAGGGTAGTTGTTGTGTGGCGTTAAAGGGAGGAGTTTCGTTTCCATCGCTCTAAAGCATAAAAGGTGATCAGCGGTCGTGGCTTAAAATCGAGGTTGTCCGTGGCAAAAATGCAACAGAATGCTATCGAGGATTAGTGGAAGGCTGTGGCACAAATGCTTTACCGTATAGGACAGTAGCACGATGGGTTCAAGCATTTCGTTCGGGTCGGAATGAGACTGCGGATTTGCAACCCATAGGTCGGCCCTTCATTCCTCAAGAGGAGATTGACATCCTGAGCGGTCTCCTTACCATAGACCACCGATGGATTTTCCAAGAGTTATCCTTAGAGGTTGGTCCGAGTCATCAAAAGGTGTGGCACATAATAAAAAAAATCTCTCAACATGAGGAAAATTGCTTCCCGCTGGGTTCCACATTGACTAACCGAAGTACAGAAATGGCACTGCTATGCACTGGCTGGCACCCACTTGGAGAGATACTGCAATGAAAGAGACACATTTCTGCAGCGTATTGTCGCCATTGATGAGATATGGGCACGAACCTATGAGCCTGAATCAAAGCATCAATCAAATGAATGGTGTTACCAAGGTTTGCCTCATCCACAGAAATTTCGACAGGAACCTAGTCGGGTGAAGGTTATGCTGTCTATGGCATAAGACTGGGACAGTGAGATACTTACACATGCTGTACCTGAAGGACAATCTGTCAGCGCAGATTACTATTGCCAATTTCTACAGCTCCATCTGCGTCTGGCTATGTGGCACAAACGTCCACGTTTATTGCATAACAATCTCCCTATCGTATTGCATGACAATGCTCGTTGCCATGTCGCAAACAGTGTCGCTCTCCTTTTAGCGACGGTGGCAGTGGCAAATCCTGGAACACCCTCTCTACTCACCCGACATGAGTCCTTGTGACATCGATCTGTTTCCAAAGTTGTAGCAACTCCTCTGAGGTCACCGATTTCATAACGTTTCGTCTGTTCTCCACGCATTACGGCACTCGGTCTCTCACATCAACAATCAACACCTTGCCACTGGTCTACAACGGCTTCCCGACATTTGGCAAAAGGTTATAAGCTTTGCTGGTGATTACATAGAAGGAATATAATGAAATTGTACTTGTTAAGTTAATTAAAAATTGATTTATACCTATGTTGCCATTACTTAATTTACAGCCCTCGTACTAGTATGGATACTAGCTGATCTAACTAGTATGGATACTAGTTGTCTTCTGTTTTATTTAATGCAGTGCCATGCCAGCTTTGATAGAGAATCCAGCACTTTGATATTTTGAATCTTTTCAGCTGGCATTGATTTTTTAAGTTGTGTAGAAAAGCAGCATACTGTAAAAATATATAATGAAGTGCATCTTGAAGGGAAAGTGCATTTGTGTAGAGTCTCATTAGTTTCAGATAAATGAACAAATATTAAGTGCTTCTTCATCATGTGGAAAAGTAACTTATCTTGGCAGGATTGAATCTTTAGAAAAAAAAAGAGGAGAATTATTTATTTATTTATTTTTTTGTGTGTGGTCCAGCTGTTGAAAACTTTAAAAATGTTTATCTCTGTTTCATATCGTGACTTTTTAAAAAATGTCCAGGAATGTGATTTGAGGATTATTGACACAGAGTTCATATGTATTTTTAAAATTAAGGCATATGGTTTGCATGAATTGGATAAGGTAAAATTTAAGAATGTGTATAAGTATTCCCATCTGATTCTGCTTCAGCTGTTCATTGTAAGTCTTTCACAAGCTTGTAGTTGAAATTAATACACTAAATGTTTTGATGAGGATCAAGGTCTGGAGCCAAGAGCCGAAGTAGCTCATTTTAACTTCAGTTATTAGCTTTGAAAGTTCATATTTCAAACTTTAACAGCTTTAAAATATGCTACTGGAGCTATTATTGATTGAATTAATATTTAGGAGGTCTTTGGAATGTTTCTTGATGTAACTGTTGTGTTGATCGACATGTTGGAAAGATGATCGAACTTGGTTATTTATAAGGAGCAGAAGTTATGATAAGATTTCTATGCATAAATCTCTGAAAGGATTGTTATTGGCGAAATTTGGGAGAAAAAAATTGCCTTCCTTCGTTGTGCTGTATGCCACCAGAGTAAAATTCAAATACTGTATGTTTTGAAATCCCAAGCAGTTTTGTTCATCAAAATGTCTGTTTTGTATTTTCCAGCCATTAAATTTGCTGAAAAGAGACAGTTATCAGATTTTTGGCTTCCGTGCTAGACTCAGATTTCTATTGGCTGATGAATTGCTTCATAGGTACACTAACCTGGTGATGCAGCTGGAGGAAGATTCATGCAGTGAAGTTAATGGCTTGCACCCATGGTGCTTTGTATGAATCGAACTGAATCTGAGAAGACAGGTCTCATGAAGTACTGGAGTCTTTGAAGGCTTGATGTATCAATTTCTAAGCCAGAAGTTTTAGTAATGATTACAGTGGGGCTGATGTTACCACATACACAACATGCAAGAAGTAAAATATAATGAATATGAACGGTCAAGTATGCAGTTTAGAAAAAACAGTAGTGAATACTAAGTCTACTAGAAAAGGTAAGGATATTGCTAAAAAGTTTGTGTGTGATGATTTTTAAATAAAATAAAATGTAATTTGTATTTTAAGTTTGCTTTGTTATTGTTTTTTGTAATTTTAATTTTCTTTCTCCTTTATTAGCCTTCCTCATAATCAAGATTGCCATGAAATGTGGTCTAAAAGACGTCGCCGGCAAATGAGGTTAGAGCAGGAAGCTGCAGCTGCTGCCTTGAACAACCCAGCTATGCTTTCTCAATCTGTAGATGCTATATCTCTTTTAAATACTTCATTACTTTCTAATAATTCAAAAATTCCAAATTATCCAGATAATCCTATTCAGTCAAATGTTTGGTCTGCTGAGCTTCAAAATACATGGAATAAAAAGGAAAAGAATGATGATAAGCTTGAGATAGACAAAAAAGGTTAGCTCTTCCAGCTAAGTAAATTTCACATCATTTTTGTTTACTTCTATTTCTATTAAAAGTTTAACACATTGCTTTCAAATAAAATATCTTTTTTCATACTAATGAACTTCATTTAGAAGTCCAGAATAACTGATTTGAATTGTTGTTTATATCCAGTTTTATTTTTAATCAGCAGTGATATTTATTTCATTTCTGATACAAATCTGAACTTATTTTATTAAAGTATTGGAAAAAGGTTTATGTAGGTGTTTAATCATGTTAAATGAAGGTGTTTAATCGTGACTCATTCTTTAATTTGTTGTTGATATCATGAAAATATTCATTCATCATATCATTGTAAATTATTCATGCAAATGACTAAATTGAAGTTTTTTAACTAAAAGCATAAAGTCTAGGATCGGTAAGTATTAAGGCAAATGAAGCCTCTATTCGTCTATTTTAAACATCCCAAGTATGTTTTGTATATTTTGAAAAATAGTTGTTCTTAAAGTATTTTTTTTTTAATTTTTGATTGTTTTTATTTACAGTGCTTGAACCTGCTTTGGCAGACCCCACGGTTACTCAACCAACAGCTGTTCGACATCTTTTTCCTGGTTAGAACTATATTACATTTTATAGTATTTCTATGCACTTTTAATATACATATATAGTGCAAAGTATCTCAAAATTAATCAGTTTAATGATACAAATATAAAGACATTTTCTATGTATAGGTTTTAGTATTATTTTTGAAGTGTGTTATTATTTATGTTTTATATTGTAATGAAATGTAATTAATTGAGAGTGATTTAAAAATGTTTCTTTGCAATCATTTGAATGAAAAAATAAATGTACATTTATTGTATATATGTTAAATGAAGTTATGGTTATATTTAGTTCCTGCAAAAGCTAATAAATGCGGTATGTTTTAACTTGGGATGTTTTGTATTGTGTGGAATATTAAAATTTCATATTCAGAAGTGTAATACCGAACGCATTAATACTGTCTGTTAATATATGTCTGCAATAAATACATGTATATATATTAATTGTGATATGTTAATTTCAAGGAAAGTTGCTATTTCAAAAATCTCAAAAAGTTTGGGAATGGGCATATAAAGAGTTACTTCTTAGTATTTAGTGTCTTGTAGTATTGCATTATTATTTTTACATATTTATTTGTTGATAGCCCATCAGTAATCAGCTTATGATTTATTTCTTAGCATCTGAATAAAACACTCATTTTGTTTTATTTAAAGTTCATTTCATTGACTTTGTAATTTTTTATGCCTGCATGTACTGCATGTTTGTTAAATATATTTGACTTTGGAAAAAAATAAATTTGTTTACATTGTTATTTTGTATGTATGTATTTATTTCATTTGAAATCAAACAAGTTAGTTAAAGATGACAAGTTTAATTAAACTGAAGCTCTGATAATAAACTATATATTAACTCTAACTTTCTATTGCTCCTCACTTTTCTCTTAAGACATAAATTATTGTTAATATATTTTACTGTTATACTGAGTTGCAAGCACATGTTTTTATGCAGCCTATTTCATAACATTGAAAGGAAGGATATTTGTGAGTTTCTTTATAGGGTTTATATTCACAGAGTTGCCAACTCTCCTGATTTAGGCGGGAAACTCCCGATTTTCGACCGCTCTCCCGCCAGATTTACAATATATTTCTCCCGACTTTTTCTTATTCTTAAAATTTCGCATGATTTTTATGGATCTTGGCTTAATACTTTGTTATATGGGGGAAAAAAAAAAAAAGTGATTTTGGACGTCTGAAAGCATTTGAATTTTCTCTAGATTATATCTAAAACAAAACCTTGCGAATCAAATGAGAATTTCTGCTTTGTGAGTGAGAGCAGATACGTATCCAGAAACGTCGTTCTCCAGTTCTCCAATGGGCATCGTGCTCAACTGCATGTCATCTGGCCAATGAGGACAAAGCAAGCTGTTATTTGGATGTTCTCTAGTTATTTCGGTCATTTTGTCCTGAGTTGTGTGAGTTCACGTGCCTTCGGGAAATAGTTTTAAAAATTATCATCTTTTCTAATGTCTGCAAGAAAGGTTAAATACTTGTGTACGTTTCAAAAATCGTACACAGTTGACTTTCCTTTCATTATTTCCTCAAGGAAATCTAATAAATTTGCAATGTGTACCGCCTGTCGTTGCGATTTTTTGATTTTGCATGCTGGAAGGGTGGATGTTCTCAAACATGTGCATACACAAAAACACAAGGACAACATTAGTTGTTTTGAAAAAAAAAAAAAAAAAAAAAAAAGAAAAATTAAATTTTTCTTTGGAAGCGAAGGACCAAAAAGTTATTAATGCAGAATGTGTGTTCTCTGCCTTTTTACTGGAGCACAACTTGCCACTGAATGCATAGGATCACGCTGCAGCTTTATTTAAAAAAATGTTTCCCGATAGTGAAATCGCTAAGAAATACTCAATTGCTAGGACCAACAAAACAGGTGCAATTGTTAAAGAAATGGGTTTGAAAAATAAATCTTCAGTTATTGATTTCATTAAAACAGCTCCGTTCTGTCTCTCTATGGATGGAAGCAATAATACTGATTCAAAACTGTATCCAATTGTTGTTTCTTTTTTTAATACAAAGTCTTCAGAAATTGAGTGCAGTTTACTTTCTGTCCCCACTTCAGAAGGACATTTGACAGGCTTTAATATAGCACAGCTAATTGTTAAAACTTTTAAAAGAAAATGCAGTCCCTCTGGATAATTGCTTAGCACTTGGTGCGATAATGCACCAGTATTGGTAGGCTTGGAAGACAGGTGTTGCAGGCATCTTAAGAAAGAAAAATTCCGATTTGCAGATTATGAGGTGCACCTGCCACCTCTTAAATTTAGCAGCTGAAAAAGGGGCAGCTTCTTTACCAATAAATGTTGATGAACACATTGTTAATATTCATTATTATCTTGAAAGGAGTTCTAAAAGGAAGGGAAAATTGAAACAGTTCCAACAGCTGCATAACAACAGTTTACAATTCGAAAACTTGGATAAAGTTATAAAATCAGCTAGGATTGAGTGTGAGAGAATTTTCAGTGTTGTTGGGAAAAAGAGGACTAAATTTACATCTAATATTAGTGATGACACATTAGAAAAACTTTTATTAGCGAAAGCAGGCTATGAACAAAATTATGAAAATTTATTTATTAAAGAAAGCAAAATCTGCCACTGTTTATAACATTTCTACGAAAACTGATTAAAGTGTTTTTCCCCCCTTACACGATGCAAGTAATAAAAGTGTTTTTTATGTGTAAGGTATTTTTGTGTTGCTTGCATTTAAGAATTGGTTACTATTTAAAGTTAATTCATTATTAAAAACTATATTTTTATCATTTAAAAAGTCTTTAACATTGTGAAAAATCTCCTGATTTTTGAGTGTCATTGGTTGGCAAGTATGTATTCAGAATTCAAAAATTAAATAATGCTCTGCAAAAATATTGATCTGAAATGTTGAAATAATGTCCTTATTAAATCATAATAAATTATATTTATGTAAAAAACTCAGAATTGTTCATTTATAAAAGTAAAGAATGAAAAATTCATTTCATAATAAGTGCCATAACTTTTCATCAGAGCTGTTTGACAGAATCACGAATATCTGAATTCCCCTTCTCTTAAATTCCTACCTATACTAGTTCTTTCAACAATAAATTTCCCAAAATTTTAGCCCTTATTCTTGCCACCAATAAGCTTGCACTGGAAAGAATCATGCATTTATCAGTTTCCATATGGTGATTATGTCTTCATAATGACTGAAGTCATAATCTTCTGGAATACACAATCCAGCATTTAAGATGCTATTTTTAGAATTGTATTGCTAATATGCATGTAAATGAAACCTTGTTAGGAGGAGGCTGCTAATAACATTGAAAACATACTTGTGGATGCTTCTTTATAAACAACTCAGCAATCAGGAAATGTCAAAATAAACATGTACAACTATTTCATATGCAAATAATGGGTCTAAAGCATAAATCGATAAGTCGGTATGATACTTTTTAAAAACCATATATGATTTCTACATATATTTTATATGGAAAACACTTAATATACAGTTTAGTAGTGAATTAAATATTAAAGGGAAAAACATTAGGTTAACTACTGAGCAGGTTTTTAAAAAACAATTTAATCTGGTGAATATGTAAATCAGTGTTACCATTATTTTTGTGTTGAAAAATTATTTTATACTTTCATCATACCAAATGATTAAAACATATCTCATTTTTTTGAGGGCGCGGGAATTAGCAATTTTTTCAATCCCTTTTATTCAATGCTTTCAATTCTCTGCAACTAACATGGATTAAAGAAAAATTTTTACCAAAAATTAGTTGTTTCATTCTTTTCATTTTCAGCTTCCTACTTTAGGTATTAGATTGTATCTTTTGTATGATGTTGAAATATTTTTAAGTATTAGTTCAGAAATAAATATTTCTGTTAATTCCATGTTGATTTAGAAGAATTCAAGCATTTTTTAAGGACCTACTGTAAAAATTTATTGTTAAACTAATATACCTATTGCCTTCTGTGTATATGAAGTTTTACAGTTAAGTTCAGTAAATGTGTGTTCATAATTAAAAGATTCTTACCTAAATAAACAAAAGCATTTCATGTTCCTTTAAAATAAAAGCAATCATTTGAGATGCACTTTTAATAAAAACTGTATAGTTACTGAAAAATGTGGGCAAAAAAAGTCTTCATTTGCTATTATATTACATGGAGAATACTCATCATATTTGTAATAGTCAAAAGTTGTTGCCTTTTAGGGCTTGTTTGAGGTGTATGAACATAAAGAGGTCTGTTGTAATGAGGTCATGTTCTGGATGCCTACTATTGATCCTTTGCAATCAGTATTTTCCTACTTTGTGATAGTATTCATTAATGCTCTTTCTGGGTAACATCTTAACTTTTCCAATGTTTTATGTACAATATATCATAATTCTACCTCTTTGAACAACATAGTCAATGGAATTTCATCCATTCTTTAAATGATTAATCTATTCATAAACATAACTTTAGGGAATGATTTCATATCGAAGAACATTTTGGGAGGGGGAAGATCTCATGTTTTTCTTTTGCAGGTTTGGCTTTGGTTTATGTGATTATGGGAAAGCCTCAAGGGCTATCTGCCTAAGAGGAGGGATGCCTTTGTGGAGGACTTTCTAAGGGAAACTGGCTCGCATGCATGTTACACATATGGAAATACATAAAAACAACCATGCAGCCAACCCATTTGCGGTATTCGAACCTTGGATCAAACTACCAGTGTTCAGCAACTTTACCACTTGGTCACTGGTGGGCATTTTCTTTCGCAGATTTACCAAGCTTGAAAACAAACTTTAAAGTGGTTCATGCTATGAACATCAATAGTTCATTTTACAGCCTATGCTGTACCTTTGCATGATAGAATATTGTTAACTGAAATCCGTTATCTCTATACCTTGATCATGCTGAGACATAATTAAACATGTTATAAAGTATTTGTTACATGTTTCACCATTGCTGACTGTTACAAGTGTGCAGCTAATGATGTTATCCGCTGCACTTTACTGTCATACCTTGTATACCAAAAAACT